GAACAAAGGATTTATGGAGATTATGAAGAGAAGAGATGAGACGTGAGGAGGTTAATGAGTTTCGTGAGGGGGAGAGGAAGAGAAACGAAGAAGTGGATAGAGGGGTTCAATTTTAAAACTGACCCAAAATGCTTAAAACCTCTTATTTATCAACGTTTTGCCTCTGCGCTTATGCGCCAAAGCCACCGCTGGAGCGGTGAGTAAGTTTAAATTAGGAAAAATGGCTCCAGAGGGTTGGCGCTTTGGCCGTGGTCCTGGGGCTTCAGCTGTAGGCTTTCAAAATGCAATTAAGCTCAAACAGAGACTTAACGCCATGGCTATGAACACTGGCGCTGGAGCTGTGGTATTTTTGAGCTCAAGGGAGAACTCCAGGGGCTTGGCGCTATGGCCGTGAAACCAGCGCTGGAGCTGTGGGAAATTAGCATGCAAACTGACCCAACAGAAACTTGGCACCATAGCAGTGAGGCTGGCACTTCAGCGTGAAAAGTTGAAATACACCAAAGAGTCCTACAGAGAGTTGGCGCCATGGCTGTGAGCCTGGCACTTGAGCATTGGGACAGAATTGAATTCTAAGCTTTTCTCTTCCAAATAGAACAATACCAATTGATGGCTCATTTTTCGTGAGCATTTTACCATTTCCTTTTCACATCATGACCAACTATACCAACACTGCAAACACATAAGGCCAGATTCATTCTTAGTCTCCTTGAGTTTTTAAACTATACCATCATCCCACATTGGTACCCAAGTTTAAAACTGATTTGTTCATTAAATCTCAAAACATCACAGAATCACAAAACATCATGTACTTAACCATCAAGCAGCAGTAGTATAACTCAGCCAAAACTCATTATAACACCACAAACAACATGGAACCAAACCTCCCTATGAATCAAGATATTCCACTCCACACTCCAAATCATTAAACTACTCACAAACCCAACACCCACATCAATACAGCACCGCTAACAATCAACAAAATGCCACCTAAAATCTTAACACACAACACAGAAACAAAACTTAAACTAAAACAGAAATGTTAAACATATTCCACAACATGCAAATCATCAAGCACAATCATTCTAAAATTAAGCAACTCTATGAACAAGAACTGTTAACTACTCACTATTCAAGCTAACTTAGAATTTAAAACAGAAATTAAAACAAAACATGCTAATTTAATGTCTTTAGCTTGACAATACTGTTTGTTCATGGCTCCTTCAAATGTGTGCTGGCAGTGAATCTCTCAACTTCACCACCCAAATAGTGCTCGAGCCTCTGACCATTAACATAGTTTTTAATAAAAATTTAAATTTGGTTCATAAATGATTAAATTTTTTTTCCAAAAGTTAAATTTCTTAAAGTTTTTTATCATTGGAGTAAATTTGTGTTTGAGTTGCTTAATACTGACATGGCACACTAAAGATCACTTTTTTCATTTTTCAATACATGAAGCAACTAAAATAAGTTGTTTTCATTGGAGATGCTTTAAGATTTATATGTATAATAAAAAGAGAAATGTTAGCAACACATTATTTATTACACT